GGTCCTTGTAGAGGAAGAGGCCAAATGCATCAGGATGGGTCACTCGGAACTTGGTGGCACAGAGTTGGCTCAGAGAGGCAATCGAAGACCCCGGGGGCACAGCCAGGGTTTTGGAGGTGCAACCTATGCTGGGGTCCTGGTAGGCTACTCGGAGGAGGTGCTGTGCAGAAGACAAGAACAAGTCCTCAGCTATGCTGGGCGGTCACCTCCAAAACCGAAGGGACAGGCTGAAGCCGTGCAAGGACAGGGTGGAGTGGTACATCCACGCTAGCATGAACTGACAGAAGCCTTGTGAGCTCCGAGGGGACTCTGGGGCAGAGAGGAATGCGTTTGTACTCGTGGTAGAGGTGCAAGGTCAGCCGAGAGGGGACTTCAGAACCCTGAAAAGATGCCCAAGAGGAGTCCACAGTGTGCAGGGCTCTCTCCCTAAGTGTCCCTGGGGCTAATTGCCTAGAACGACCCTCAATGTTCCAATGTGCCTAATCTTCACGGCAGCCAGGTGCCCATTTTAGAGACTAGAAAACCAAGGCACAGGAAAAAAGTGATAGAGCTGGGACAAATCTGGGGCCTGGCTACAAAGTCTGAATTCATAGCCAGACTGAGAAGGTTGACATTGAAGGCGGGGCACCCTGGCCAGGCCCGAATGGGAGCACAGATTGAAGCTGGAGGACAAGGAAGGGAGAGCCTCGGTCAGTATTAGAGGCCAGGAAGTTGCGGTCACGCCCCTGTGTCAGTTTCTACCTCGTTTGTAACATGGGGAAAACAACGGCCCTACTTCCGAGTTTCCCTGAAGATTCAGAGGCTGCCATGGAGCTCACAGCCCAGTGCCTGTCCCCCGGAACACACCCCCTGGAAGGGTTATTCTGATACTCAGATGGGCCTCTGTTTACTGTAGGGTGATGCCGGGCTGGAGGAACTGTGCTGGATGATGTCAGAGTCCCTCGGAGCAAAGGCCAGATTGGGGCAGACATGTGCAAAGGGCCCTTTACCTGGAAGCTGTGGGTGGCCGGCAGGCGGCGCTGTTCCCAGAGGGCCAGAGAGCGCTGGAGCTCCTGTGCCGGGCTGAGAGGGAGCGTGTGGGCCTGGCTCAGGCCACCCAGCAAGGCCAGGCTGGCTGAGAGGCTGGTCAGGTAGTAGCCACCTAGGACGCAGGGTACACAGAATGCAGCTCAGGCTGGGTAGGACGTCTGCCTTCCCCTTCCTTCCTTCCTTCCTTCCTTCCTTCCTTCCTTCCTTCCTTCCTTCCTTCCTTCCTTCCTTCCTCAGCTAAGAAGCCCCAGTTCCACCCAGACGGGAAGTAAGGGGACCCTCACCCTCTCCGGTGAGCAGGGTAGGCTCCAGCAGCTCCGACATGTACTCAGCTTCTAACAGGAGGTCAGGAAGGTCGCACTGGGCCAAGACAAGGCTCAGCAGAGGCAGAAACTCATCCGCGCCAGCTTTCTCCCCTGTGGAGGCGTGGGAAGGAGGGCGTTCCAGCCTCCTCAGAGGCCCAAGGGCTAGGGTCCAATCCCAGTCCTGGACAGTGACACACACACACACACACACACACACACACACACACACACACACACACACACACACCGCTAGACTCCTGGATAGGACGGGACTGTCATAGGAACCCCAGGACACTCTATTCTCTAGAGCTGCTGAGACAGAGGGTTGGGTCCTTCGGCCCTGTTTGCAGTTCTGGGGTCCTGGGACCTTCTCCCTCTGCTCAGAACGAGCCGAAGCGGGGAAGGGGCGAGGGTCATACCTGCCTGGGTTTTCAGGGCGGTGTAGAGCAGTTTGCAGGCCTGCAGGAGCCACTTGATCTGGGCGACGGGCGAATAGGTGCCGAGCAGCTGAAGCAGCCTCTGGCGCACCTGCTCTGTCTCCACTGGGGAGGAGAGGCGCAGGTGGGACCCCAGGGCTCCAGGGCCCTGGGTCCGGACCAGGTGGAAGCCCTCAGCCAGGCGGCCGAGGGAACCATCTGTGGAAAGCCGGCGCCGCAGGCGGGCAGCTAGGATAGGCCGGAGAGGCTTGAGAACCGAGCGGTGCAGGGACTTCTCCAGGACCAACTCTGCCAGGGGAGAGCAGACACGGTCAGGAGAACGGGGCTGGAAGAGCGGAAGCCCCGGGTCAAGGCAGGAGGGAGGAGGGAGGGGGCGGGTGGGATTCACTGCAGCCGTAGAGAGAGGACAAGTGGGGCGCAGGGAAAGCAGCACTTCATCATCAGGCAAGGAGAGAGCCGGAGACTGAACCCGTGGAGGCCAGGGCTGGGGCCTTACCCAGCCTCTCCGGCGAGAGCAGCTTCTCGGGGCCCAGCTCTGCACTCAGCATGGCCCGGGCCCGGCTTAAGGCCTGGCGGATGCACTGCAACTCCCGGGGCTCGGGACCAGCCCGAACCTGGGTCAGCAGGTCCTGCACTAGCTGACCCACAGCTGTGTACCGGTTTTGCATTAGCATTGTGGCTGCCCGGCCAACCTGCCTCTCCGGCGCCAGCAGAGAGCAGAAAGCGGAACTCATGGACCGAAGCAGAGGCCGCCGCTGCCTTGGGCGGCCCAGGAATGGGGAGGTTGTGGGGCTTCCTGCAGAATCTTCCTCCTCTGAGCTACTGGGGGAGCAGCAGTCCACCTCCTGAAGTGAAGGCAGGGGAGGCAGGCCAGGGCCAGAAGCACTCCCTGGCACGCGGTACCCCACGGAGCTCTCCCTCTGCAGCAGCTGTCGAGGGGGCTGTCTTTCCGTTTGGCTGGAAGACGGCCCTGGCAGTACTGGAACCGGAGGCGGCGGCACGGCAGGTGGAGACAGAGGACTGGAGGTCTCGGTGGACACGCGCACTTTAAAGCTCCTCTGGAATTTCTCCCGTTTGGTGGGGCCCAGGTCCCCTGGGAAGAGGGGGTTGAAGAAGCAGAGGGCTGCACCCGTGCCCTGATCCAGTTCTTGAGGGGAGCGGGCCTTCAGCCTGGGTAGCGATGGGGCTTCAGAAGGCCTCTGCTGAACCTTGGTGTTGAGGGAGGAGCTCCAGAACTCTAGCAATCAGAAACCAATGGGGGCCTCAGAGCCGGTTCAGGAGGGTGCCTGGTCGCCCTTTCTCCTCCCCCTTGGCCTCTATGCGTTCATCTGTGCAATGGGCTGCAGGGAACCCTTACCCATGCCCAGATGGGAGATGGCCTCCAGCTCCTTGTGGCTGGCTGCCTGATGAATGGCCCTGGGGAGCCGGAGCGGGAGGAGGAGAATGTCCCTAAGGTCAGAACAAGGAACCGTCAGGAGCAAGCGGTGGTCCGGCACAGGGGTGGGCGGCAGCAGGGAGCAGGCCCTGTGGTCCCCAGGTGCCTGGCAGGCAGACTCACCTGGTGTGGCAGTATGCACAGATGAGCTGGACCAGGTCCTGGAACATGAGCTCTGAACCCTCCAAAGAGACGCCTGAGAGACATTGGGAGTGAGGCTGTTCTCTGGGGACCTCCCTCCCCCGCCTGTCTCCAGCCCCTTCCCGCCAGGCCAGCCCCCTCACCGCCAGGGCTCTCTTGGATATAGTGACTGGAGACAAAAGAAGGGCCGCTGGCTTCTGGCAGCCGCACACACAGAGCCTGGCACTGGCGAGTGTTAGATTTCCGTACCAGGAAGGTCTGTAAGAGAGCAAGGCTAGGAGGCTCCGTGCTCCCATGTCCAGGCGCTTTCTCTCCCGCCCTCGGCCGGCCAGTCCCGGAGGACGGGAAAGACTTACCCCTGGAGGCTCTGTCCTCAGCACGTGCAGGGCGGCGGCGGCGTTGGCCCGCAACTGGAACCACACGGGCCGGGTGATCAGCAGCCGCTCCCGCAGGCTCACAGTGCGAGCTGGTTGTTGGGACCCACTTGCCTGGGCCCCGCGGGCATCAGGTGTGTCATACAGTGGGTCTGGAGACGGCCTGGGGGCAGACACCCGGACCTGAGCAGGGGTCTGGGGTGAGCACCGCTCCCCCGTTCTGAGCCCCCCCATCCTGCCACTGCCCTCTCCCCCCCCCTGTGCCCGGCTGCCCTCCCAACTTCACTAACTTTTCTTTCTGTTGGTGCCCAGGAACCAAGTTGAGGTTGGTAGCTCCCAGAGGGTGTGCTCCTGTCTCCCCAGGGTCTTCCATGACTGGGAGCTCCTTCAGCTTCTCCTGGGACTCAGGAAGAGAATCCAACCCCCAAGGCACAGCCGTGCACATTCCTGGCGGTGAGTAACACTTCCTGAAGGCGGTTCACCCTGTCACACCCCGCCAGTTAACTCTTGTATGTCCCTTCCATGTGGCCAGTGTCCACCTCTTCTGTTCCGGGCCCAGCCTTGAATGGCAGGATGCCCCCTCCATGTTAAGGTCACTATCAGGGCTCCAGCTGTGGGAGGACCACCTCCATACAGTGCTTCCACCGCCTCCTCCCACTATGCAGCTGGGCAGGGAGGAGTTACACAGGGCAGACCAAGTTCCCATAGGCCCACGCCTCACCCCTGGGTCACCTAAGAAGTCTGCGGTCACTTGCTCATCTGCTCCTGCCGGTGGAGGGGGTCAGCCTTGTGGGAGAGCACCCCCTACTGGTCACAGATGACTCATTCCTGAACCTAACTTGGGTTTTGTAATTTCAGGTTGCTATGGAGAAAGGATGCTGTGTCTCCATGGAAACTAAACCTTTTGCTTAACTGAGGTTCTGGGGGTGGTTCTGACACTCACTGCTAACCAGGGGGAGTGTGGCGGAGGTCGTCAGCACATGGTGCTGCTGCTGGCTGCCTCCCACACACAGGCCCTGCTAGCCTGCCTTGCCAATCTGCCAAGTGGCTGGGGCAGGTGCAGACATGACCTGGCCTCTGCACACGTGCAACAGCTCCTGCGCCACCCAAGGCCATGTGCTTCACCTGTCTGCTTGTGCCACGTGTAGCTTCCAGCTCTGAGCCCAGAGCTTTTCTAAGTCACAATGTCCCAAACTACAAGGACCCCAGAGGAGCCTGTCTCGGGTGTTCCCCATAAATGCCTTGATTCCCTTGTAAGACAACAGCAGACACACATCGGTCATGTCAAGCTATCAGGATGAGTTTTATTCCAGTCTTTGGAATCTTGGAGGCAGACACCAGGAATAGCCCTGAGAAAGACTGGGAGGCTGCATCTCCAGCGGCAGCTGGGATGGGCAAGACTCCGACAGAATTTTTTTTTTTTTTTTTTTTTAGGAGTTCTTCCTGCAGTGGGGCCCAGCTCCTGGCTTAGTGGCTGGGGGTAGGGTTGAAAGTCAGGAGGGTTGCCGCTTTGGATGAAGTCCATCTTCTTTGTTGGGGGACACTGAGGAGGGGGAGGTGGTGGGCTGGTCACGGATTGGAGATAACAGTCTTGCTTGGCCAGGTCAGCTTCAGAGCCACAGCTATGCCGATCCCAAGGACAGCAGAAGAGTCCAGGCCAGTGTTGGCAGAGGGTCAGGGGAGAGCAGTAAGACTGGCAACCCCCTGCCTTTGCAGAAAATGTTAGTCCCGTGTATGGTACCAGCTGCTCCAAGGACCCTCTGAGTGTAAACACAGGGTCAGGGGCCTGGGGGCACATGGGAAAATCACTGAAAGGAAGTTGACCAAGTTGATAACCACTTCCTGTTCTCCCCTCACCCACAGGGTTTCTTCTTCCTGCCCTCGGACCCACCTTGCTGCGGGAGGGCTCCAGTTCTTCCTTATCTTTTGTGGTGCTGAGCTTGGCACCAGGGTCTTGCCCGTGCTGGGCAGGCACTCTACCACTGGCTCCTCCAGTCCACCTTGACACGCCCTTGCTCCATCAGCTAAGAGCTTCCCCAACCTGGTTCCTAGTCCCCAAACTCCCACAAAACCCTCCAAGTGAGATCAAACTACAGATTCTGAGGGGGCCGCCCCCTGCTTCTTACCATCTGCTTTTCTCTTCTGAGGGGACACTGCTGCCCTGGCCTGGGTGGGGAGAAGAAAGGGACCTTAGAGTTGGCTTTAACTTGCTGACATTGCCTCCGACACACACACACACAGCCCAGGGTAAAGCTGCCGAGTCAAGTCACATGAAGTATAAAAACTTCCTACATCAAGCTCCAAGTGTCTCTTTTCTCAGGGACCAGTCAAGACAAACCTGCCTGGAACAAGGGCTAAGGAGAAGACCGCCTCCTTTCCTAGGTCAGTCTTTAGGCAGGAGGACCACAAGCTGACACAAAGTTGGAGCACCAGGGCTGAGGCAGATGTTGCTGACGGGCAAGCAGAAAACTGCCTGGTTACCTCAGATACCAGAGCTGGCACGTGTGTGTGTGTGTGTGTGTGTGTGTGTGTGTGTGTGTGTGTGTGTGTGTGTGTGTCACAGCAGGATGGGGAAACAGGCAGCACTGGACATACCTTTTTGATGGCCGTCCAGTCTTCCAGGATGTCGATCTCCTGCAGCATGTAGACAATGTATGGGCCTGCACAGGGGTCAAGGAAGCAGGACGACAACAGGAGACACATAACAAGGCTCCATGGGAGGCACTGCCACCCACCCACCCACCCACCACTTAGGAAAGGTGGCACACGGATAGTGTGGCGGGGTGCCAAGAGCCTTTTTTTTTTTTTTTTTTTTTGGAGACATGGTCTCTCTATGTAGCCCTGGCTGCCTGGAACTCACAGAGATCCACCTGTCTCTGCCTCCTGAGTGCTGGGATTAAAGGTGTGCACCACTAAACTCAGCAAGACTTTGGGTGTAATCCAAGTTCTACTTCCTGCCTTAAGAACCCTAGTTCCTGGTGAGTGTGGGGGCTGTGTTGGACATGAACTTACCCATTTCCCTCACTCACTCTCACCCTTTTTCCAGGTCCGCTGGCCAAGGCCCATCCCATCCTGAGGGCCTGCTCCTCCTGTTTCATCTGGTTTTGTCAGGAACTGGCTCACTGGACCCCTCCTCACCTAAAGGTGGATCCTGGCCTCTTCCCTCCTGATAGCACTGTGCTCTGTATCTGAAATCTACCTTTACCCACAGTGGTTCAATAAAGTCTCCATCCCACCTCCATCCTGAGGTGGGCCCAGGGCTGACACCATGGATGTGGAAGACCTCAGCTCAGCGTTATGGTCCCCTGGGATGCCCAATACAGAAGAGAACACATGCACAGGGCTGGGGGGACACAGAGCAGATCAGGAGAGACTTCACAAGAGACAGCATCTCACATGGCACCACCTCCAGGACAAGCAATAGCTCCAGGAAGGTTGAGCAAGGCCTGAGACAGCATGCGGCCCACACCAGGACATTGGGGGAAAGCGAAGAGCCTTCAAAGGTTGCTCCTTACTCAGGAAATTACTAGGAGTCAGTGAGCTGAGTTTTCTGTTTCTTTGGGGTCCACTGGGCTCAGGAGGACCTGGGACACAGAAGAAAATCCTGACAGCTGGACATTTCATGTGACACCAAATGATCATAAATGATTCTAGCCTGACTCTGTCCCACACAATGCCTCTAACTTCCCAGAGTCCGTGGCCTGCCTTGGCCTGCCCAGTTTCAGGCGACCTTGAGCGGAAGGATACCAGAAACGAGAGGTGCTTTCTTCCTCTTGCTGGGTGGCAGCGAGTCCCAGGTCTTCGAGCTGCCTCTGGGATGAAGTTTGTCGTCCCACCACTCTGCCCAGAGACCAGAGTCAGGACAGTGACCCACAGCTAACTCCCACCCTCCCCTCCCTGTGGCTTCACCATGGACCAGCCCGGCCTCCTCTCCCTTCCCCGTCACCACCAGGGCAGTGGCCCCAACCTTGGGCTTGAGGCTGGCTGCCCCTTGGGATCGATCACTCGGGTTCTGACTGCACATTGCTGTAAGCCTGGGAAGATAACACTGCCTTTCTTGGTGAAGCCTCAGTTTCTCTAGTTGCTTAGTAGGCAGGGGATGAAGGTAATTCCCGGACCCCATGTGAACACAGATGCCGCCATCATGGAGAGGACTGTTTTTTTTTTTTTATATGCATCCATGTGTCAGCTGGATATGGCCCATTCTGAATGGGGGCAGGCAGGGGACCCACTCTGCTTGAATCCCCACTATATGTGGAATACTGAGCTAGACCCTTTCCTAAAGTCTCATTCAGTCCTCAGAGGGACCCCAAGAAGAAGGCTGTTTGACTCCCCTTATGCAGCCTGGGAAGCTGAGCTCCAGATGGGGGAGAGGGGCATTGCAGGATTGGGCCCTCGCCTCACCAGAGCTGATGTCCAGGCTCTGGCGGTCCTCCTCCAGCCTCTGGATCCGCTCCTGCAGCTCCCCAAGGAGCGTGTCATACAGCAGCAGCTTCTCACTCTGGGAGCAAGGGACAGCCACTCAGCTGGGGCACTGCTGTGCCTCAGTCTCCCTCCCAGAGGCCCACTTGCCGGCTCACCTCTAGGTGCTGTTTGGCTCCCTGGAGTTCACACTCATATTTATTCCTGATCACATCCAGACAGAAGCCCTTGTAGATTCCTGCAAAGGGAGAGAAGCGATCTGCTTGGCTGGGGGCCCTAATGTCCCCCACAAGGAGATCCACAGGAACAGGGAGAGGCAGGGCAGGGACATAAGTGGAAGGGGCAGAAAGCTGCACTGGGAGAACAGGGCAGCTACACACCTGCCACCTGAATGCGGACCTTTAGACTCTGTTGCAGCCCTCCAAGAGGCTCTGTATACTCGGGGGCTCTCTCGGCCCCCACTTCCTCCAGTCGTAAGCGCAGCTGGCTCAGCCGTTCCCTGAACAACCTGAAGGCAAAAAGGCAGCTGCGCACCGCTGGCTTCTCCAGTGATGCCTGCCAAGTACCTGCCCCCCTTAAGCCCCTCTTGCTGCACATCCCCCATGGCACCTGTACCCCAGGTGCCCAAAGGCCTGCCCCAAGACTCCCCAGCTCACTTCTCTTTCAGCTCTGAGAACTGCTTTTCCAGGTCCAGCATCTCACTGACACACTCACTGCGCCGCCGCTCATAGTCCTCGTCATCCATCTCTGAGGGAGAGGCTGATGAGTGCTGGGACTGCAGGGGCAGGCAGCTGTGTGTGTGTGTGTGTGTGTGTGTGTGTGTGTGCGCGTGGTGCGTGCGTGCGTGTGTGTGTGTGTGTGTGTGTGTGTGTGTGTGTGTATGTGTGTGTGACACCCATGCGGGGCTCACCTGAGCTCTCCTCCTCTGACTCCGTCTGGCTGCCGCTCCGCTCCTCCTCGCTCTCATCCGCCTCCCCGTTCATCTCAGCTGCTGAGTCGCCTTCTGCCTCCATTTCTTCTGTTTCTTTGCCTGGAGGCTGGATGGGCATCTGGGCTCTGGGAGAGGGAGGATGGGCCGTCACTCACCCCGTCCACATCAGAGCAGCCCAACAGGGAGGTGACCAAACAGAAGCCTCGAGTGAACCAAGGGGACGTGACTGTTGTCACCACACTGAACATGTACTTGGTGGAATTTGCTCCTGACAGAATCCTGGGGTACACAGGAATGAGCCACCATGGGAAAGGTTTCCACGGTGGATGGGACTGGACCCAAGCTTCTAACTGGGCCCTACAAGACCCTTCATGGACTGCACTCGAACTCTAAGTCCATCTCCTTCACCTCACGGAATGGCCAGTTCTCACACTCCTACCCCATTTCTCTGCCCATGTAACCGCTCTGCCTACAACGTCCTCAGCTTTTCTTACCGGTACTGTCCCACAATTCTCTGGTCTTTCCTGTGTTCCAGATCAAATTCTATCACCTGCTTCTTCCGCCCTCAGTGTCTCCCTCTCCCTGCCTACCTTCAGCTCCTCCGTTCTGGCCCATATTACATTGCTTATTCTGCAATGTAACAGTGTTTAGAGATGAAACTGTCAGGGTTTTCTTTTGTTATTCATTTAATACACACGCACCCACACATGCATGCATGCATGCACACCATGGAGCATGTATGGAGGTCAGAGGACAGCTTGTAGGAGTCAGTTCTCTTCTACCATCAACACTGGACATTGGTGGCGGTTGTCTTACCTGCTGAACCAGTGGTTAGCCCAAGGGGGACCTTTGCAAGGTGATTAGGTCCACCCTCAGTGTACTGACGCCTAATCAGCAGAGGGTTCCTGATAAGATATGAGTCTTTCCTCCCCACCTTCTGAAATGAACTGCTCCAGCAAAAAGGCTCTTGCCAGACACGGGCACCTCAACCTTGGTCCTCCCAGACCCCAGGACTCTGAGAAGTTGTTATTCTCGATGCATGAGTGTTTTGCACTGTGTCTTTGTACCATGTGTGTGCAGTGCCTGTGAGGAGGCATTGTCCCTCAGAACTGGAGTTACAGACATGTAACTAAGCCACAATATGGGGGCTGGGAATGGAACCCGGGTCCACTGGAAGACCAGCCCATGCTCTTGATTGCTGAGCCATCTCTCCAGAACACCAACACCATTTTTACAAATTTCTGATACTGGGGATTAAACTCCAATTCTTTTTGTTTATTTGTTTGTTTGTTTGAATCAGGGTTTCTCTGTGTAGCCCTGGCTATCCTGGAACTCACTCTGAATATATCAAACTGGCCTTGAACTTCACCTGCCTCTGCCTCCTGAGTGCTGAGACTAAAGGCGTGAACCACCACCATCCAGCTAAACTCAGACTCTTTTTTTGAACTCGGCCTCAAACTCACAGATATCCGTTTCCTCTGCCTCATGAGTGCTGGGATTAAAGTTGTGGGCCACCACTGCTGGCTTAATCTCAGATTTTAAGCTGGGAAAGACAGCATTTTACTACTGAGCTATGTCCCCTTGCTTTTTTGAGACTAGGTCTCACTAAGCTGCCCAAGCTGGCCTCAAACCAGTAACTCCTTGAATCTTACTTTCCCAAACGTCTGATGTTATAGGATTACAGGAATTACAGGAACCACTACACTCAGTTAAAATCTCCGTTCTCATTTATAAATGACCCAGTCTCAGGTTTTTATTTTGTTTTGGTGAAAGACTGGGGATTGAACTCGGGTTCTCATAAATGCTGAGCCTTAACTCTACCACTGAGCAATATCCCAACCCCCAAGATTCCTTAAGGACTTGGACAAAAAGAACCTTCCTATGCGGAAGTTTAGATGTGTTCAGGTTTTTCCTACCATTAAGAAAAAGCAGATGCCGGGCGGTGGTGGCGCACGCCTTTAATCCCAGCACTTGGGAGGCAGAGGCAGGTGGATCTCTGAGTTCAAGGCCAGCCTGGTCTACAGAGTGAGATCCAGGACAGCCAGGGATACACAGAAAACCCTGTCTTGAAAAAACAAAACAAAAACAAACAAACAAACAAATCCCACAAAAGTACAACAAAAAAGAGAATAAAAACCCGAAAAAGCCGAGAAGTCTGAGCACGTTGCTGGCATGCATGAGGTTTTAGGCTCAATTCCCAGTACTGGGAAGGAAAAAAGAAAAAAGAAAGAGCCCGATGTGATACACATATGTAACCCTAGCCCCCAGAGGCTGATGCAGGAGGTCTGTAAGTTCTAGGTCATTCTGGGTTATATAGTGACACTCGATCTTAAAATAAAAACAGAGAGAAGCAGTATGTCTGGGGGTGTAGTTCAGTGGTCGAGTCCCTGCTTACAGAGACATCTGGATTAGATCCTCTGCCCTGTGGAAAAACAAATACAAAGCCAGGTGTGATGATACTCAGAGGAGGCAGAGTCCGGAGGATTACTACAGATTCAAGCCCAGCCTGGTACACAGAGTGAGGTTCAGGCTGGCAATAGCTGGTGAGGCTATGCCAAAAATCCCAACTAAGTCAATCGGTGAATGGATGAATGCATATGAAACGTGGTCCAGTTCACTTAACTTGTATAGTTCTCCAGGCCGTGTGCACACTTGCTGTTCTGACTTTCACCTCTTACTCTTTCGCTGTTCAGATACCAAGCACTCACACTGAAACTACTCCGGCAGAATTACACAACACTTCCTTGAAGCAAATGCCAGCATTTTTCAGTGCTTGCCTTAGGTGACCTTTCAGAAACATTAAACACGGCTAAGCCTTCCCCTTCCCCCTTACTTATCTAATATTTACCAAGCACCTAATATATGCCAGGTACCAACAGTCGCTGTGGCAGATGCTAGAGTACAGCTGTGACAGACATAGTTTTTGGCCTCAAGGAAATAACAAGTTCCTGGGAGAGAAGACAAAGAAACAGACCTTTATAATGGTGCGAAGAGAGTGAAAACTAGGGTGTTATGGGAGAGGTGTCGAGACAGGATATGGAGCTTGCTGCAGCAGTGACAGCTTCCAGGGGAAGACAGACCAGGTGAGGGCTGGGCAGACAAGAAAGGGATCCTTCCTGGCAGGGTGAAGAGCAAATATAAAGACCTAGAAATGAGAAAAGGGACCAGTGACATGGGCATGTAAGCTCCCATTAAACTCGACTTCAGGAACTCGGTTATCTACACATGGCAAGTTATTTAGGCTTTGTGTAGTGACTATTCAAGCAGAAATGTTTTTTTTTTTTTTTTTTTTTTTTTTTTTTTTGTTTTTCGAGACAGGGTTTCTCTGTGTAGCTTTGCGCCTTTCCTGGAGCTCACTTGGTAGCCCAGGCTGGCCTCGAACTCACAGAGATCCGCCTGGCTCTGCCTCCCGAGTGCTGGGATTAAAGGCGTGCGCCACCATCGCCCGGCTCAAGCAGAAATGTAAGAAGGGCGGGTGGCAGTGGCGCACGCCTTTAATCCCAGCACTGGGGAGGCAGAGCCAGGAGGATCTCTGTGAGTTCGAGGCCGGTCTGGTCTCCAAAGCAAAGAAATGTAAGAAGGGGTCGGATGTAACTCGCAAGGTCAACAAAAGAGGCAGGGGAGAAACCTCTATAGAAAGAGAACTCAACGTCAGGGAGGAAGAGAGTTTCAGAATGCAGGAGACATGAGAGATTGACGCTGCCAGACCACCTGAGAGAATAAGCCATCCTGGATGCAGATGCTCTCTCTGCCAAGTGAGGGCTTCTATTTCATGCTGATATTATTCCTACATCTCCAGTTGCTGCTCTGTAAGTCTTCCCAGTGAGGTAGACCACACTCCCCTCTGCCCGGGAAGCTTTCTTGGTTTCCATTTCCTATTCTCCCATTTTCATGTCTATCCACCCAGCGAATGTGGGAGTCTCACCAGGGCAGGGGCTGCACAACTGTCTTATTCACCCAGTGCAATACCAGCTCACTTGATGACTGATTTTTCTAAACACAAATTAAACAAAATGAACTTTTGCGGTGCAGGAATTGGCTTTTACTTCTCTTCTTGGTAACCCTACTTACAGTGGTGGCCACTCATTCAACTAATTACAGTAATGGACCTGCAGGAGAGTTTAGCAGTATTTCCTCCTCCTCTGAAAACCCAGGTCTCCAAAACAGCCTGACTGTTCCCCTGCTCGGGCCTCAGATCTCCGCGCTGGCAATTCCTCTTCACTGTTAACTGTATGTACTTTCTAAGACGCAGCGTCGTCTTAAAGTTCTCCTTCCTCCAGCTGACTCTGATCCTGACTTCATTAAATGAAGTCACAACCGTCTCTCCTTAGCCCAGGTATAAATGGGAAAAACCACTGTGGAAGAGGCACACTGTAAAGCGCGGTGCACATGCAATTTATCTTTACAGACGTATAAGCACCTCCGGAGCAAGCCTCCAGGGAAGGCAGACTCCTCCCTACAGACGCAGAGAACAAACTCAGTTTCTCTGCGGAGCTCCGGGAGCATTCAGCCGCGATCCACCCTCAGATTCACCGGCGCAGGCCGGGGAACCGCGCAGCGCGCGAGCCGGACCGGTTAAGTCTCTGCTTTGGCTCCGACCCGGGAAGCAGAACCCAGCGCCAGGCGTGACCATACGCACCGTAGGGGCTGGGGCCTCCGGCCTCACATCGGAGACTCCTCGAGAGCTGTCGGACCCGGGCTGTAAACGCCGCCGCCGTTGGCCTCCCGGAAAGAGCTGCGCAGGTCCCTCTTTCTCCAGGAGGTGCCGACGCTTCCGTGTACGTCATCAAGAGGCGCCGGTTGCGGAGCTTACAATTGAACCCCTGGTGTCCAGGCATGCCGGGATACCGCGGGCGGGTCTCCATAGCAACCGGCCCACAGTCTCCCAGGCCTCCAGCCTGCCCTAGCTTTTGTGGTCTGTGCCCTTGGGTCCACTGCGGATACCATGATGCTCCTGCCCACAAGCCTTCAACTCAGGAGAGTAACAGAGCCATCCGTGGGTCTGAACACTCGTTTATTTACACACTGTCATACGAAGGCAAATGCACGGCCCAGCCTGCTGGAGGGCACAGAGCTGAGACTTCAACCCCCGGGACCCACAGACCCTTCCCTCCTTTAGGGAGCTCGGAGGGCGAAGGCTTGAGAGAAGCGGGAGGCTTACATTCTACCCAGTCTGAGCGCTACATTCTGTTTTCATCTTTCTTTGCAAAAGGCTCATTTTTATTAAGTACTCAGGATTCTCAGATTTATTCCATTCATACTTTTTGCTCTGCTGCTATCCACCCAACATTGTTAATAATAACAATATAATAATAACAATAGTAACACTGTAATAATATTAATAATACTTCACATTTGTACGAAGCTTACAGGATGTTTTCACATACAGCCTCTCATCTGAGCCAACAGTTCTGTGAGGTAGGTAGTTTCACCTCCCTTTTTACAGACGGGGCAATGGAGGCTCAGAGAGGTAACAGGATTTGTTCAAGGCCACACAGCTAGTTAGTGGTAAAGCTAAGACTTGATCCCAGCACCCCATAGTCAAGTCCAGTGTTTCAAAACCACAGCTACCTCTGTAAAGTGGAGGGATGTTTCTTACCCCAGTCTGGCCTGAGGAGCCAGATGCTGAAAATTCTCAGACTAGGGGAAGAAAGAACTCAGCATCGATGGGGAGAGTTGGGGTACTTAGCCTTCAACTCTTGTTTGAACTGGCGGTAAAGGATCTTATTGCGCTGGTTTTCAGCCTCCTTTTGGGGATGGAACTTCAATGCTTCTTTGAAGCCCTTATGAACCAGAAAACCTTCGTTCAGCACCTCAAAATTAAATCCTGCCACGTGCAGCTCACAGGCCTGGAGAGAGAGAGAGAGAGAGAGAGAGAGAGAGAGAGAGAGAGAGAGAGGAGAGAGAGTCACAATAATTTAATGACATCCCTAGGGCTCAAGTAGTCATCCCTAAAGCTTCACTCCCCCCCCCCCCCCGGAATTCTACACTATCCGACCACCACTTTCCTCTTGTTTCATTGCCTCCTTTCTATCAATGGCCACCCCATCCCTGACACACCTCCAGCCCCAGTCCCACCTGCCCTCTCCCTTTTAGGCACCTGGCTGATTCGATTGAAGCCGTATTGCCGAAAGCGCTCATCAAAGGTGGGCACCTTTCCTCCGGCCACATAAAATGGTTCCCAGGGGTCCCGCCAGGGCACCACGTAGGCAGGTCTCAGCAAGCTTTCTTCTGGCAGGTTGACCCAGCGGGAGTAGTTGGTGGGCGCATGGCAAGGCGTGCACAGCCCATAATAGAAGGGCCGGACTTCGCCCACCTGATAGAGCTGCACTAGCTCGTTCTTGTTCATCGGCATCCGGCGTGCTCGGCGGATTTCAAACGCAGGCACCACCAGGGCCATGCCATCCCAGTGGTTACTCTGATCCAACATTTCCCTCAGGCCCCTCCACAGCCCCTCGCTGGGCACCATGTCCACATCAATCACCAGGGCATAGTTGGCCTCTTCTCGAGCCAGATTCCGTAACAGGTTATTGGGGTAGGAGATGTTGGTGCCCAGTGCGTAATTAATCCCGGGCTGGGCCACCCTGGCTAGCTTGTCAAAGACCTCCTGGCATGACCGCAGCAGGGCAAACTCCCCAGGCTCCCGGGGGTCGGGCACGGCGGCCTCATAACGCGAGGGGCACACGAGGTGCATGGCAACCCTAGCACGCATCTCAGGGCAGTGGCTACTCAGCGCGTAGGCCAGCACCGTGGCCAGCTGTGCCTCCTCTCTGGTGGCCGCGAACACTGATACGGACAGTGGGCCCTCCCAGCGCTCCAGAAGTCCGGACAGGTGCAGCAGGTTGTCCACGCTGGCATGCGTGGCTAAGATGACATCGTTGGGGTCCATGGTGGTCTTCAGTAGACCCCTGTAGACGCGATAATCGCCGCTGGCATCCAGAACGCCTCCGGAGGCCAGCGCGGCGCGGAGTTGAGACTTTACCTGGTCCACGGATCGCGGGGACGGCGGGAAGAACTCGAAATACTGTTCCTGCTCCTCCTGCCCGTGCAGTCCCGAGAGCAGCGATAGGTAGAGCAGCTGCAGCATTGCCACCAACATGAGAGCGGCCAGCAGCAGCTGGTAGAAGGCGCATCGGATGGCGTAGGACATTTGCATGGCTCTCGGGGCTCCCGGCGCGAAGCGGGGACCACCGGGCCGTAGCCTCTGCCAACCACCGCAAGCCCAGATTTACCGCAGCCTGCCGAGCGCCGCCGAGGCCAACCGAGGCCAGCCGAGCCCAGCGCTCAGCCCCGCCCTCCGTCCGCTTGCAGCGATCTAGGTGCGTGCCAGCTCGCCCTCTGTGAGAGAGGAGGAGCTACTGCAGCGGTCGCTGTTCGGCGCGCGCTTTGCAAACGCCGAACTTAACCGCGGTCACGTCGTGCGGCCGCGGACCCCTGGACGCGCACTTCTCCCTTGGGATCGGGACGCAGACCCCTTGACCAAGCGCGTCCTGACACCGCAGTGCGTCGGCGGCACCGCGGGGAGGGGAACCCGTGCAGAGCTCAGCTGCAGCTCAGTCACTGATGGCGCGGTTCCCGGCTGAAGCCCTCGGAGAGGAAATTTTAAAAAACCTCTTTGTCACGCTGTTTCTTCTTTCTCTGAACTTTTCCAGGTGGGTGATAGGGACGTGGATGGAAGCGTGCCTAAGGTACGTATGAGATGAGAGATATGGGAATGTGGAAAGGGGTATTGCGTGTGGGACGAGGTGGCCGAGTGGTTAAGGCGATGGACTGCTAATCCATTGTGCTTTGCACGCGTGGGTTCGAATCCCATCCTCGTCGGTCCTGTTTTATAGGGAGAAGGCTTCTTAATTTTCCACATCCTGCCTGTCCTGGACAGTGAAGTGAAGAAATCTAGGGTCCGATTCCGTGTTCTCTACCGAATTTGCCCACCGACCGTGTTTCTGGTCAATTCGTTATTTCCAGCTTTCTGAATGTGCCATGGAATTGGTCAAGACTCCCCTTTTCTTTCTCCTAAGAACCACAGCGCAGGGGTGGTTACCATCCAAGACTGGTACCCGGACACCTCGCCTGAGGTTGTCTGCGGGGGGGATGTAGTGTCTGATTGTTTAAATAACTACTTTTTCCGCGCTACTGTTTCCTCTCACTTACCCCAGGATGGAAACATCTTATCTACACACAGTTGTCCCCAAACACACATCAAAGCAGAAGGCTTGTCCAACACCAGCCACTGCACACTGAAGGCACTTAGTGTTTGTGGATGAAGGGAACCACGAAATCTTTAGCAGAAGTGTGGGGGAAGGGCGGGCACTTCAGCTGCTTCATCAATCATACTTTATAAACACTTGACTCTTTTGTTTCCTTAGGGCAGAACACTGTGAGTCTTGGTAAGGAGCACTGGGGCAGGCTGGGGAGAGCATTGAGTGAGAGCGTTGGCTGGGGTGGGTAGGGGGCTTCCGCAGACTGTAGGGTTCCAAACATTCGGGAGACCTCTATTTCACAGATTGGTACCATAGTACTCGGGAGTGCCAGCTTTCTGCCAAGGCTGTGCTGGGCACTGAGGCAGGGGACCCTGCACATACAGGTTCTGTCCTTTTCACTGAAGATAGGCTTCAGGAGAAAGGGGGACGTTCAGAACTTTCAACACAGTTTTTGTAGACACGGAGCTCAGAAATCAAACTTGGGGGCACCGTGAGGGTTTTGTTTTGTTTTTCGAGACAGGGTTTCTCTGTGTAGCTTTGGCTGTCCTAGGACTCACCCTGTAGACCAGGCTGGCCTCAAACTCGAGATTTGCCTGCCTCTGTTTTTAACTTCGTTTTCTTCACAAACAGAACTCTTAGAATAATAAACTTTGCAAAATAAATACTATTAAAATAGAGCTTCACAATAAATATTGTATACAAAGGAAACCTCTGGCGGCTTCTGTGTGCTGAGAAGAGGCTACAGGGAAGGGAATGAGATGAGAATGTGGTGGAGGGGGCACTGGCTGCAGCTCTGCTCTGGGTAACCCCTGTTTTATTTTATTATTATTTTAAAGAGTAGCTCGCTAGTGTAGTCCAGGATGGGCTTGAACTTGTGAACCTCCTGCCACCACCACCTCTGGAGTGCTGGGATCAGAGGTTTGCACCAGCACATCTGGCTGCTTTATTATTATTATTTTACTGTTTGTGTTTTTGAGATAGAGGTTTTCTTTTTGTGGTTTGTTTGTTGGTTTGTATTGAGACAGGGTCTCTCTGTGTAGCTCTGGCTGTCCTGGAGCTCACTCTAGACCAGGCTGACTTCCAACTCACGGAGATTCCCCTTGCCTCTGCCTCCTGGGTGCTAGCATTCAAGGTAAGCACTACGTCTGACCTGAGATAGTCTTAGTATGGAACCTAAGGATGCCTCCACATTGACTCTCTTGCCGTGTGTTCTCCTGTGCTGGGGTTACAGGCAGGCACACCATGTCTGGCTCGAAATCTGTTTTAAATTTTGAAAGATGTCGTCCACATTCCCACCGGTAACCTTTTTAAAATTTGAAAGATATCGTCCACATTCCCACCGGTAACCTTTTTAAATTTTGAAAGATGTCGTCCATGTTCCCACTGGTAACCTTTTGTCCAGAGAGGCAGCATGGCTTCTCACTCTGTGTTGAAGCTTGTCTTCAGCAGCGACAAAGCCTTACAGCCCTGCCTCAGCCTTCATTCCCCACTCTAGCGACCTGCTGGAGCAAGAGCTTAGGGTCTTCTCAGGCTGCTTCTGAACAGGCACCTTGCCACGTGTGTGCATGACTTTTACATTCCTGGATATTTGAGGGAGTTTTTCAGCCGGCCACCAAAGTCCCTTCCAGCTCTTCCTGACAAACTTTGAGCTGTTGTTTGCCTCGCTGTAGTCTTTACGAGACAGGAATGGGGCATTGATTTTCCCATTGTGTCTTAGAGAGCTGCCCTTGACTAGAGCCTTTCCCTGGTGAGATTTCCTAGTTAGGGAAACACAGACCCGTGCTTGGCATCAGTCCCTTGGGTGGGTTCCTAGACAATTAAAACATAAAGAGTTCTTTTAGAACAAAGTCTGCTCCCCCTCCTAGGAGCCAGTGACCTGGGTCCTCACAGCCACCACTGCGTGAGGTGATTTTCTGTCGTTATAGCCAAACCCCTGAGGTCAACCTCATACCGGGAAGAGTTCATTTTGGCCCAAGGTCTCAGAAGTTCCTTGGTCATTTGGCCCCATCCCTTTGGACCTGAAAACATCAGAGGTGCTTGCGATGAGGTAAATCTGCTGTTGTTTGACAGGAAGGAAGCAAAAAGGCAGGCTGGAGTCCCAGGATCCCTTTGGAAGACATATGACCTAACTTCCTCCCCACAGATTCACCACCTCTGACAGCACTACAGGCTTGAAGCCCAGCACCCAGAGGCAGGGCAGAGGCAGAAGCTGAGGCAGGGCGAGTTCCGGGGTAGCCTGGGCTACACTGTGAGACCCTGTCTCAAAAAACAAAAACAAAGACTCAACACATGATCTTGGAGATATTTAAGACCCAAACTGAAACAGCCACCCACCAACTGCAGGAGGGGATGGGACAAGGACAGGAAAAATACTACAAAGGTTTGCTATCACTTTCAGTTGCCTTAAACTTTTGCCAGAAAAAAATAACTTGTTTCTTTTATTATTTATTGACAAAAGTCCTTAAAACTTAAAACATAACAAACAAACACAAAACAGTGTGGGCACCTGCCACCGAGCTTGATGACCTGAGTTTGATTCCTGGAACCCACATGGTGGAAGGAGAGAACTGCTTCCAGAAGTTTTCCTCTGACTTCCATGTGCATTCTGTGACTTGTGTGTGGCCGCACCCACACACATACACAACAACCACATAGAAAGCAAAAACTCAAACCCATAAGCAGAACAGAAAGTTGAAAAAAATAAACATAAGTCAGCATTGCTCCTTGCTAAAACCTGTCTCTGTCTCTACTCTGTGTATGTGTGTGTATATATGTGCATCTGTGTGTGTGCAGGCATGTGTGCAGGTATGTGTGTGTACATGTGTGTATATGTACATGTGTATATGTATGTGTATGTGCATATGTGTAGGTGTGTGTGCATATGTGTGTGTTTGTGTGTATATGTGTATGTATCTGCAGGTGTGTGTGTGTGTGTGTGTGTGCGCGCGCGCGCGTGCACCTGTGCAGATGTGTATGAGTGTGTATATGCGTGTAGGCCAGGGATTGACTCCAGGTGTTGTTCCCTGTCGCTCTCCACATTATTTTCAAGACAGGATCTCTCACTGAACCTGGAGCTCACCAATGTGGCTAGACTGGATGGCGGACCTGGGATCTGTGCCCCTCCATGCTGGGATTACCGGCAAGCACTGACTTGCCTGGCTTTATCACCGGTGCTGGGATCCGAAGTCAAGACCTCATGCTTCCCCAGTGAGCGCTTTACCCACCGAGGTATCTTCTCCAACCTAAACCAGTTTTCTTAAAGTTTACTTCTGACCTTAATTGTCCTTTGGTGCCTTCGTTCCACTGTCCAGGAAGTCCACAACGGCAGACCAACCTGGGGTTCAGTCATACAAAGCCTTCTTCAAAGAGCATGGCTGTCTGACTGGGTGCCGTGGGGCACACCTTTAGTCCCAGCACTTGGGAGACAGAGCCAGGGGGATCTCTTGGGAGTTTGAGGCCACCCTGGTCTACAGAGTGAGTTTTCAGGACAGCCAGAGTTACATCATAGAGAGACCTTCTTTCAACAGAACAAAACAAAACAGCATGGCGGTATCAGGACTCGGGGCAATTAGCACCTGCAGATTCATCTGTCAACTGTCTCTCAGTTTCAACAGCTCAGTCCCAGCTTCTGCCACCTCCAGAGCTCCCCTGAAGAAGTCGCGAGGCAGCAGCAGCTCAGTCAGCTCCCTGGGCTGCCCTTAACACAGTCCTGTTCCTTCTAGGCTCTTCCCTCGGAGGAATGCACTGCTGGTCACGGCTTCCGTTGCTCTGGAGAACTTCAGTTGACGCTGTAAAACGGCTGAAAGGGGAGAAGCTTGACTAAGTCTTTAGAGCATAAGGAAATATAAATCCAGTCAGGTGACCTCAGTCAACCATGATTTTGTTGAGAAACCCTGAGAAAGAACCAGGCGCCATCCAGGTCCATCCTACAGTCTCATGGCAGCAGCTACACTACAGAGAAATGCCCTGTTCTGTCATGCACTGACGTCCCTCACCTATTCCTTATAATAAGCTGATCGCCTCAAGGTGTCGCCTCCATGTAATGGTATTATGTGATGTTTTGTTTGTGTTCTGACAAATAAAGCTTTCCTGGAGATCAGAGGACAGAGCTAGCCACTAGGCAACCATAGAGGGCAGGCCGTGGTGGCACACACCTTTAATCCCAGCCACACTTGGGAGGAGGAAGGAGGAAGATCAGGAGTTCAAGGCCACCCTGGGCTACACGAGATTGAATCAGTCTAAAAGAGAAACCGAGTGGTGGTGGCTCCCGCCTTTAATCCCAGCACTAGGGAGGTGGAGACAGGAATATAAAGCAGATGGAGAGAGGATCTCACGCCCATTCGGTCTGAGGATTTGCAGAGACAGGATCTTCCCCATTCAGCCTAAGCACTGGGAGAGGTAAGAAGTTTTTGCGGCTGGCTGCTCTGCTTCTCTGATCTTTCAGCTTTCACCCTAATATCTGACTCCGGGTTTTCATCTGTTAAGACTAATTAGGATCATGCTTCAGATGGGGCTGCATTGTCCCTAGAGGCAAGAGCTGGTTGGTTCTTTCCACCAGGGAAGCTGGACTAGACCTTAGCATAAGGGCCTCTGGCTAGCTAACGGGTGACTGCTCATCACTCAAAACTCAGCTCAAGGGCTGGCGAGCTGGCTCAATAGTTAAGAGCACGGGCTGCTCTTCCAGAGGACTCAGGTTTGACTTCCAGCACCCACATGATGGTCACAGCCATTACTCCAGTTCCAGGGGATCTGGCATGATGCCCTTTTCTGACTTCTGAGGGCACCAGGCACACGTGTGGTACACAGACATAGATGCAGGCAAAACACCCACACTGTGAGACCAAAACGAGCCATCTTAGAAAAAAGACCAAAATGCTTTCACCCAAAAACTAAGGCCTAGGATTTCTCCTTCTAGGAATAGGCCAATGGTTACTGAAACCAGTCAGTCCAGATTCCAGAAACCAGGAAGTGTAAAAGTACAGAGTCACAAGGTAGTCACGAATAATGACAGCCTATAGAATGTTCCAACCCTGGTTTCCAGGGTAACTGACCATAAAAGTGTCCCCAACTGAGGGCAGCCAATGAGAAATGGTGGCGGGCAACCGCTCCCTTAGAAGTAAGATTAAGCCATGATTTCTAGAAAGCCCCTAGAAGCGAGCCAATCAGAATTGTACCTGTACTAGCACCCCTAAATGATGTAACCTTGTGATTTTTTCCTTTAAAAACTGAGCTTGCAGGCAGGCAGGCACTTCCTTCACCCTCCACTGCGTTGGATGTATTGGACGAAGTCCCTGCCTAGGCTTGTATTGTATATCCAGAACTAAACCTTGCTTTTGCATTCCGGCATGCTCGTCTTTGGTGGTCTCTCTGGGGGTCACGATCTGGGCACAACACATACACCGCCTTGGCCTAGTGACTCCAGCTAGACCAAGGCTTCAGCGCCACCAAAGTAGAAAGTGAGGCTGTGGTGGATGGCCAGGGAAGGAGATCACAGATTTGCAGGTGTCAAAGACTTCTCTGTTGTTTTTGCTATTATTGTTCATTTGTGGTTTATTTTTAGATTGATTGATTGGTTTTTTGAGACAAGGTTTCTCTGTGTAGCTTTGGAGCCTGTCCTGGAACTCACTCTGTAGACCAGGCTGGCCTCGAACTCACAAAGATCCGCCTGCCTCTGCCTCCTGAGTGCTGGGATTAAAGGTGTGTGCCACCACCGCCCGGCTGTTGTTGTTTTTAAAATCCACCTTCTAACCATTTTGACCTATTATTTTGTGTGTGTATATGCCTGCGTGTATGTCTGTGCATTACATGTAGGAGTCAGAAGAGGGTGTCAGGTCCCCTGGAACTGAAGTTAACAGACAGTTACAAGCCATAATGTGGTACTGTGACTTGAACCTGAGTCCTCTGGAAGAATAGCCAGTGCTCTTAACCCATGAGCTGTCTCTCCAGCCCTATTTGTTTCTTTTTGAGACAAGGCCTCATGTAGTCCATGCTGGCCACAAACTCCCTATGTGGCCAGAGATGATCTTGAACTTCTGATCCTCCTGCCTGCATCCTCTGAGTGCTGGGATTACAGGCCTGTATCTCCCCCACTGCTAAATGCTTCTCATTAGCAGAATTTTAACCAGTACTACCCAGCCTCCTTATTAAAAGAGCCAGCACTTTGAGGGGCAAGACTGAGCTTCAAATGTCTGTGTCCCTCCCATTAAGCTGGCTCAGTCCTGTGGAGGGGCCCCAAAACAGCTTGACCACACAGCTGCCATGACAGGCTTAGAGGCCCAGACACAGCTTCTGTGACAGGCTTACTGGCAGGCAACACCCAAATCCAGGAAAAGCCTTAAGCTGATACCACCCAGGGATCCATTCAGGGGTGAAGAGGTACCTGACACCTCAAACATTCCAGCCATTAGAAAAGGTGGCCAGATGTCCTTGAGTCTAGCACACACCTATTTTTTTGTTTTACAGATACCCCTAGACAATTGTCAGCCAATCAGCGTCCTGGACCCTGGAAATCCCCTCACCCCAACCTCTGCTACGATAAAAACTCTGCCCCACCTGAGCTCAGGGCTCTCTGCTCTCACCGCTGTGTCAGACAGACAGAGGGACCAAGCTCTGGAGCTTGAAATAAAGGCTCTTTGCTTTTACATGCGGGATTCGGTCTCCGTGGTGGTCTTTTGGGGGTCCCTGCGCTCTGGGCATAACAGTCCTTTCCACACTGATATCTCCAAGGGCTTGCTGATGTAACCGGCTGTTTCAAAGGAGAGAGTGTCTGATTGCCTCAGGCCTGTATCAGGGCCAAGGAGGTAGTGGGAGCAGAGAGCGAGAATCAGGAAAGGGACAGACAGGTGCCACCCCTCCGCTCAAGCATTTGTTTCCAGTGGAAAGCCAGCTTCCTTTGGGTGTGGTGGACTTGAGCCCCAGCATTTGGGAGACAGAAGCAGGCAGCTCTCTGAGTTCCAGTCCAGTCAGAGTTACCCAGTGAGACCCTTATCTCCAAAAACAGAGGGGAAGAATAGGGGCTGGAGAGATGGTTCTGTGGTTAAGAGCTCTGGCTGCTCTTGAACAGGTCCCAGGTTCACTTCCCAGCACCCACATCTCAGCTCACAGGCACCTGTAACTCCAGTTTCAAGGGATCTGATGCTCTCCTGGCTTCTGTGGGCACCAGGCACACACATGATGCAGAGCCATACATGTAGGCAAATCACTCATACACATAAATTTTTAAATATATATATTTTAAAGCCAGCCTTCTCCTGGTCTGATGGAAAGTTGGGTGGGAAGATGGAAATTCAAGATGTGATATCAGGACATTTGCACCGTGAGTGTTCTTTTCTGGGACTGGTCCTCCACTGCTCAGCCCAACCCGTGGCTTGCACTGTCACCAACAGGTGACAATGGCCCCTGTGGGTTTTCTTAGACTGCCTGGCCTGTAAGTGGATGGAGGGGTACCTTCCTGGCCCCCCGGAGAGTCTGCCAGGCTGAGAGTTCTCTGAAGGAACTGGGATCTGGGACTATCAGAAGGTCTTTGCCAAGAGTCCTTGGGACTTCAGCTACTTTTCCAGGCTGGGTCCAAGGCCTGCCTGCCTCTCTGCTCTCTGCATCAGAGGCCATACTCTATAAGTTCCAAGCTCAGCTCTCAGAGGTTTGGATCTGAGCCACAGATGCGAGGCCAGCCTTAAACCACCTAGCCATGGGATGAAGCGGCCTCATACGAAACAGCCACACTCTGCTCTGTTCCCCAGCTACAGGGACACTTGGCTGTGGTCTCTCTGCTTCTTGTCCCAAGTCACTGTCCACATACAGCTCTGACTATGACACTCCACTACGAAAGCCCTGTGACTGCTGTCCATTAACTGTAGGACAAAGCTCTAAAGGATCACTTACATAAAGCCAGGTCTTTACCTGGCCTGTCTTCTGCTATGCCCGCCTCATCCTCTCCCCTTCCCTCCCCTTCTCCTCTCGGCTCCTTTCAGAAAGTCCCCTTGTTTGTGTCTTCCACTCTCTGGCACCTCTGAAGGGAACACTCTTCTTCCCCTATTGCCCAGAAAACTCATGTTCATTCCTCAAAGTCCAGCTTCGGTAAGGCCAACCCTGACCTCCAGGTAGGGTCAGTGGCATCCTCTTCTAGAGTCTTGTACTGCATGCTTCTGCAGACCTTCACAAGCTGTATCATGGCTACTTTCCCTCTCTCATGGCCTTGGATCGTGAACCTCTTTGTTTCAGTCGCCAGACCAACCAGGGCAGGTATCTACAAACAATAGTCAAAGGAATAAACCTTTATTTGAGGTCTGCCTGGTGGCTTATTTCTACTTCCAAAGTCAGAGCTTGCCTTCCCATCCTCTAAGATAGCAAAAGCCTGTGGCTTCTAAACAAGTGTCCTGTACTGGTTCAGTCTCTGGTACGTTATCAAAGACTAAAGGGGTCCAGCCCTTTATAGTCTTTTCCCAGAGTTCCAGAAGAGATGCTACCAGCGGCAAGAATTAATCTGGGGGATCTGAATGAATCTAAGTACACCGAGCTCTTTAGACCATTCACTTTATTCTTCTAAGTCCAAATCCATCTACACAGCTTCATTTCTGTTCTCATCCTTAGCTCCTCTCTGTCCCTTCCTCTACTGTCCTCTCCTTGTCCTGTCTAAGTTCCTTCCATCTTCATCCTGCTCTAAGTCCAAAATCTCCCAGTGCTGTGGGACACTGGTATAATATACACTTACAAGCAGTAAGTGCACTTTGACAATGCAATGTGAGGCTTTCAGGGTCATAAAGAGAGGTGATAAGATCCACACAAAAGCAGGGATGGTCAGCTTCATTTACAACCCAAAGGGGGAGTGATTAAAGAAGGCGGGGTCAACTAAGGGCTAAAATTGGTTAATAGATCAAAAAAGGGAATTTATTGGCTCAAACTATATTCTTAGAAGTGGTTAGGTAAAATATTAGGAGTTTTAGGTCACTATAAGTCATGAGTAAAATAAAACTGCCTTTTTTCCTTTGGAGCCCAATCTATCCCAGTTTATCTGGGCTGTGCTGTTTTCGGCAGGGTGGGGGAAGTGCACTAGGCAGCCTGTGCCACAGCTTGATGTACCTGGTGTGTAAAAGCCCTTTTGTTCCGAGTTAGTTGTTAAAGGGGGACTTGAGCTATGGGAGAAAGGAGGGTTTAAGCTTAATT